CAATACCGGTGCGATAGACAGGGATGTGATTTCACGACAGAGTTTAGGGTTAGACTAATTAGACACCAATTGAGTCATTCAACGGGCGGTCGACTCGTGTGTTGCAGTCAATCGTTTCAATCGGAAAAATCGTACGCTCAGCACCAGATGAATACACATCCCGATGCCTTTCCGGACATACCATGGATTGAGTGCTCGCATACGGGCTGTCAGTTTAGGACTAAAAGCAATGTTTATATTAATAAACATTTGAAGAGACATAAAGTGTTCTCCGAGAACGTGACCTATAGTTGTGATTACGAGGGTTGCGATTATAAGACACTATACAGACGTTGTTTGACTGGACACCAAAAGACTCATCTGGTTATGAAAGCGACTGTAAACGTCCCGTGCGAGTGGCCTAACTGTCCAAAGGTGTTAAGAAGTGCACAGTATATGAGAGTGCATATGAATACACACACGGCTTATAATGGCTACCGGTGCCATTATCCCGGGTGTGGAAAGCCGTTTTGGTCTAATAAATCGATGCGAATTCATTTTAAAACACACCATACGGGGAACTACAGGCGCCAGACTACCGGAACTCATGATAGGATTACAGGTAATGATTAAGAGTTTTTGAATTAATTACCGAAAATTGTTTTGGTTTAAAATGAAAATTTAAATATGATTTTGATTGCAATGAACCATTGAATACACAGATAACACAAGTGCTGGAAGTAGTGCTCAAGAAGTGAAGAATAGCCAAGAATTCAAGTGTTTGGTGAATGAATGCAACAAATTTTTCAAAACATATAGCGGTTTGAATGAAGACAACAACAGATTACATGCCATTCCTCAGCAACAGACGAGTGTCAGGAATGGGCGGAGAGGACAGGAAGTTGAGAAGATTGGTCTCCAGACCGACATAAGGCCAGACATTAAACACCAAACAGATATTGACTTAAGCCATGGACTTAATAACAGATTTGAAGGTAATATTGAATTAAATATAATATATTAATTATGTTTAATTTATGTATAACTTAATTGATTTAATGATTTATTGTGTGTTATGTTTGCAGTGATTGTAAAACACGAATCCATTGATGAGTCAAATAATGAATTGAATACTAATTGCGATAATAATGATATGATTGACGCGAATAGTGGGGAAAATATACCGAAAAGAGGCTGTAATTCAAACTTCCGATTAATAACTGAATTATTGTTAACACAAACTAAACCAGAAAATGACTAATAGTGACACAATTTGTTGTTAAATTTATAAGTTTAACTCATTTAAAGTGCTTATTATTAAAAACAATTAAACTTTTGTAAATTTTGTATTGAATAAAAATTTTAGAGACGTTTTGTATGAAACTGTTTTGACAGCAAACGTGTTGACTGTTTGCGTGGCATTTAATTTGTGTTATGTTTTGGTATTTGTTTTGATTGTCATTTCCATAACAATCATATGAAGAGTATTTGACATCAAATTGTGGTGTAATTAAGGGATTAATGTTTGGGTGAAGAATGGCATCAATTGGTCACCAGTTGTCTCACACGAGTCCACAAGACTTGTATTCAATGGTCACTCAATTGAAGAGAGAAAATGAATGTTTGAAAACAGATTTAATTAGATTTGAATTAATGCTTCAAATATATGAAAAATATTTACAATTTTTGTCGGAAAGTAATCAAACGATTGACACAAACAGTGACAACGATTTCATTCAACGAATCAATGCTTTAAAAGACATTAAAAATGGTTTTGTTTTCATTGAAAGCGATATAAAAGTGAATGAATTGTCAAAAAGTAAGTCATTTGTGAATAAAAACTTTGAATTCAATTAAAACTCATTTTATTGTTATTTTGAATGAAAAACAGATCTTTCAATGAATTATCAAACTAGTGATGAATCCGTGGATCAGTTGATGATCAATAATGAAGACAATGGACACGTCATTGAAAGTATTGAACAAATCACTGAAGCAGTTAACGAAGTGCAAGGGTCTGGAACTGATGAGACAATTAGCAAACGTGTGAATAAATATAGATCAGCCCTGAGATCTAGTGCACATACACGTGGTTATCAGGGAAATGCATTCAGTTTAAGACTCCGGAAGAATAATAAGACAAACACTGATAGAAGTGAAGACAGTGTAAGCAATGAACATAAATCTAATGAAGAAAATAGTGAACAACTCACTGAAGATAATAATGTGAAACCACAAGAGTCCACGAGTGATGAGATAATTAGAACGCCTTTCAATAAATACAGATCAGCGCTAAGACCTCGTGGACAGGGATGTGGTTATCAGAGAAACATAAATAGTTTAATATTCAGTGTGAATAATAAGACAATTACTGTTAGACGTGAAGGAAGTGTAAGCAATGGACACAAAACTATTCGTGAAAATCATGAAAAGAGTGAACAAATGACTGAAGAAAATAATGGCAAAACACAAGAGCCCGGAACCGATGCGACACTTATAAATGCCTCGCCAGAGAACCCAAGGAGACCGGGGAGAGGGAGACCCAGGAAAGCCATTCAGACTAATATCAATAGAAGTGTGAGTGAAGTTGAAAGCAATGTCAAAGACATCACTGAAACAACTTGTGGTTTGAGTGATAATCAGAGGGATAACATCGAATCCAATGATAAGATAATGGATGCCATGAGCTCTTTGAAAGGACTTTTAACCAGTGATGATAAGACACGAGACAAACAGATTGTCACCGATTCTAACGTATCTGATGAGCGATCTAACCCTATAGTGAATGCAAGTGAACCCACTGTTGGCAATAAGAGTACCGATTCTCATACCAGTGCCGCTCCCACCTCGTACACATACATATCACAGTCTCCCAAATCATTATCTCAGAGACTAGCCATTTGTGAGCCTAGACTGGGATGTACTTACTCGACACGACTTTATAGAGACTTAATTGGACACCAATTGAGTCATAGAGTTGTCAATCCTTTCAAATGCACAGTCAATGACTGCACGAAATCGTTTCCATCAAAATCTCATTTAACTTTACATGAGTTGGCAGTACATCCCGACGCTCTTCCAGACATACCGTGGATGGTGTGCACGCATACGGGCTGTCAGTATAGGACTAAATGCAAGGAAAACATGAATATTCACACGACAATACACACTACCGTTTATAACCGCGTTATTTACACTAATGACAGTGTATTAGGCAAATCCAAGTACGGGTGCGTTAGCCAGGAATGCAAGGATACGACCAAATTTAAGGTTAACCCTGATGAACCTTGTATTAGCCACACGACTAGTGATTCACATACCAGTGCATTACTTGGCCCGCAATACCGGTGCGATAGATATTTATGTGATTACAAAACACGTGATGAACAACAGCTAATTGAACACAAACTGATTCATCCGAAGTACTGTCGACTCAAATGTATAATCTGTGAATGCAGTCAATCATTTGACTCGCTATTTAGTTTAACTGCACATCAGCTAACACAACATCCCGACGCCTTTCCGGACATACCGTGGCGAGAGTGTTCTCATACTGGCTGTCAATATAGGACTAAATACAATATAAGTACTCATGAGATGGAGCATACCGGTGCTGATAAAGGTGATGCCAAATTACCTTTAGTGAGCAAACGTGAGGTCGCTGTTAAAGTTAGAAAATCCCGGCGCGATAACCAGAAATGCATGGATACGACCAAATTTATGGCTAACTCTGATGAACCACATATTAACCATACGACTAGCGATTCACCTACCAGTGCAACCACTATTACTACATTGTCTCAACCGTTGACTAAATGTCCCATCAATGGTCAGCAATACCGGTGCGATAGATATGCATGTGATTACAGGACAGGTGATAAACAACTACTAAATAATCACCAATTGATTCATCCGAAGAACTGTCATTTCAAGTGTTTAATTTGTCTTCAAGTGTCAAAATACAGTCAATCATTTCAATCGCAATTTAGTTTAACTGCACATCAACTGGCCCTACATCCCGACGCCTTACCTCACATACCATGGATGGAGTGCTCGCATAAGGGTTGTCAGTATAGGACTAAATACAAGGCATATATTAATAAACATGAGAAGAAACATACCGGTGCTGATAAAGGCGGTGCCATGTTATTGAACAAACGTAATAAGTTGCATGTTAACGTTAGAAAATACCGGTGCGATAGCCAGGGATGCAAATACACGACTTATTTTATGCGTAACTTAGATGACCACCAATCGAGTCATGCAATGGACACTGAATTCAGGTGTGATATCAATGAATGCGATCTCATATATGGATCGGAATTGGCGTTAACTCGTCATAAACTGAGACGACATCCCGACGCCTGTCCGGACATACAGTGGATGATGTGCTCGCGTATCGACTGTAAGTATAGAACTAAGTGCGAGACCGATATGAATGGCCATCGGAGGGGCCACGCTATTGTTGATGACACCATTGACCCTGAATTGAGCCACCGGTGCGATTACGAGGGATGCGACTTCGAGACAATGTTCAAACACGACTTATCCGGGCACAGGATGTCTCATAGGAACAACACACTCGAGCGTAATGTTGCAAAATTCCGGTGCGAGTGGGCTCACTGTCGCAAAGTGTTCACCAGGAGGTTGGCGCTGAAAAAACATATGAATACACACCTGAGCGATGATGTTGGCTATCGGTGCCCATACCCCAGGTGTGGGAAAACGTTTTTAAAGAAGCCTATAATGAAGTTTCATTTGAAATGTCATAAACCGGTGCATAAAAGGCAGCGATACAAGTGTTTCGTGATGGGATGCGACCAGAAGTTTGCAGTTTATGCCGATCTTCGCGAACATCGCAAGAGATTACACGCCATTCCTCTGGAGTCGAGTGAGAAGAATGAGTGGGAAGTGGAGAAGATATTGGAGTCGCGTACGGACGGCGAGGGAAAAGTGGAGTATTTGGTGAAATGGCGCGACTGTCCCCATGAGGACAACACGTGGGAACCCATTGAGAGCTTCTTAAAGAGCTCTCGTCATTTGATACGTGAGTTTGAGGGCAACCGCCCGACTCTGACCACCGGTGCGGATGTGAATAGACGTCAGACACGTAGCGCGACAGACATGTCATGGATTGTCTGCTCGCATACCGGCTGTCAGTATAGGACTAAAGATAAGACTGATTTAGAAAATCACGAAAAAACACATGACTTAATGGATGTATGCGTTGATGAAAGTGATGCCAATAATACAAATGATTGTAAGCCTATAAACATCAAGAATGAAGCGTTAAGTGATGTGATTAGTAATCAAACAGACAGTGGATTAAGCCATGAGTTTGATGTGAAAACTAAAGGTAATATTGATTTTCAGTTATTAGTAAGTGATTTGCGTATGAATTAAATGTTTTAATGATTTATTGTTGTGTTTGCAGTGACTGTGAAACAAGAACCCATCGATAAGACAAATAACGAATTGAACACTAATTGCAATAATAATGACACGAATCTCACGGAAACTAAACCGAAAACAGAGTGCAAAAGAAGCTTACGATTGAAAACTGAAGCCCAAAGAAAAGCCAAACGCGAGTAATGAATGAATGAATGCACAGAATCTGCAGAATTTACTATAGGTTTATAAAAAAATATTTTTTAATGTAATGTACAATATTTAGAAGTCAATTATACCGGTTGAATTTATCATTTTAGCATAACTTATTTTATTGACATACAGTATATAAACTCGAAAAGTTATTTAAATGTCATTTTGATGACTGACTAGTGATCGAACACATTGTCATTCCTGACTCCCGGTGTCCATAGACTCGGGCTCTAAGAGCGGTAGACTCCCAGCAGTCCTCTTATGTCTGTACTTATGTTTGTAATACATATGACTGTAAAGATTGTTCTCATTGGTCGACTTGAACGGGCACTCCGGCCAAAGGCACCGGTAGTCACCCGGAGGGGGTCCGCCTTTATGCCTATTCTCGTGTGCGGTTAACGTAGTCTTCAATAGGAACGTGCGCTCACAGCCGGGCCAATGGCACTTGTACTGCACGGCTCCGGTATGTGTATTCATGTGGGCTTTGAGTCCGTGCCCGGAGGCAAACAACTTCTCACAGCCCGGCCACTGGCACTCAAACTTGGAGTCCTTGTCGTGAGTCCTCTGGTGTTGCAAAAATAGGTCGGGCCGGGAGACCCGGTGCCCACACACGTCGCACCGGTAGGGTTTCGTATGCCTTTCCATGTGTTTTCTAAACATAGTTTTCGTTTTACACTTATAGTCGCAGTCCGGATGCTTGCACTGTAACCACGGCCTGTCCGGCACCGACTCCGGGTGCTGTCCAATGCGGTGATGCCGGAGGTTATGTTTAGTGTCAAATGACTTCCCACACCCGTCCACTTCGCACGGGAATACGCCTTTCCCGGCACTCCCATCCGTATGTCTCGCTTCGTGTTTTGTAAAGTAGTGTTTATCTGAAGTAATGTACGAACAGCCCTCCCATTTGCACCGGTAGGTGATACCCGAATGTGCAATACTTTTGTGTCGATCTAAATGATATTTCAGCGTAAATTGCTTCCCATCGTGAGCCTCATCGCAGGGATACAGTCCCCCCTTATGTCCATCCGTATGGACCTGTTTGTGTCCGTTTAGTTTGAATCTGTTTGGAAACGTCTTTCCGCAGCCAATCCAATCGCACGCAAACCTTCCTCCCTGTCCTTTGGGACCACTTTCCCTATATTTCCTTTGGTTTAATGTCTTACGACTTCTTCCTGAGACCTCTCTTTCACTCAACTCTTCATCGCTTTCATTGATTATCTCAGCGTCTGATTCATGGCTCGCATTGGAGTCGTTGTCATCACTTAATTGATTATCACTTCTTATATAGTCTTCATTATCAATAGACTCGTCATTCTTCTGGTTATCAATTGTCTTCAAAACTGTTAATAAATTTAATATAAAAACAATTTAAAA